AACCTGTGGCATGAAACTATCTCCTGAAGGAGATGTAATATGCCATGCATCTGGGGACCTCTTGGGGGAGGGTCAGGGTGCTTTATCTGTCCCTTGTGAGAATGGGGACAGACAGGTTGAAGCCCACAAGAAAACCCCAGTCCTCACACCTCCTTTTCTGTTCATCCCTGTGTCCCTCAGGAGGCAATAGCTGCCCCTTCTCTAGGTCAGATGAAACTATCTCCTGAAGGAGATGTAATATGCCATGCATCTGGGGACCTCTTGGGGGAGGGTCAGGGTGCTTTATCTGTCCCTTGTGAGAATGGGGACAGACAGGTTGAAGCCCACAAGAAAACCCCAGTCCTCACACCTCCTTTTCTGTTCATCCCTGTGTCCCTCAGGAGGCAATAGCTGCCCCTTCTCTAGGTCAGCACATCCTCTGCTCTGTGGATGGTGTGGACCTGTCCCACCAGGATGAAGGTGTGTTTGGAACAAGTGGTCCTGCCTATGTGTAGTTCAACACTTGCTGCTCCCATTCCAGGCCTCCTGTGCCAATGGAGCTTGTTTTGATTTGCTCTGTGGAATCAATCACCTCTCCAGATCTGGTTCCCAGAGCACTGAGGCTGTGGGAGCACTGGGAACTGGTGAGGCAGCTTGAAACCCAGCACTTGGCTGTCCTGAGGCACCTTCTACTGGTCTGCCAGCCCAGTGAGTAGAGCCTTGCACCAAGGCATGTCTCAGTGTCTCTACATGTGCACCAGTGGAGGAACAGCCCCAGCTTTCCATCCTGTCAAAGGAACTGCTGGTCAGGTATCTTGCATGAACATTTTCTCTTTTGTTTTTGTTACTTCTTTAGTAATTCCAGTAAGCGTAATAATCTAAACATTTTTTTACTTCATAAGTTAATTTTAAATTTCATTTTCTGTGCTAATATTGAAAAAAGGGTGCTGTCTTGTGAATAGAATCCACGTGACTGAGAGGTTCCCAAGCAGCCCCAATCCTGGAAGGCTGTACATAGACTATTGTGCCGCGTTAGTGGTATCTGTATATTTTGGGGCTTTTAGTTAGCTGAAACCCAGCATCTGTTATCTGCCAGATGCAACTGCTGTATGTTAATTTACTTGAACTTATTGGAAAGCAGAACACTTTTTATATTTGAAGAAGTTTTATTTTTTCATCTATGTTTCCTACAGATGCCTTTTTCCTTGTATGGGCTCAAACATAAAGGTCTTTTTAAAATGTATTTGAACACTTTCTGTTGATTTGCAGGTAACTTTGGTAATTATCTTGTTGCATTCTTTTTTATTTTGCTGAAAGCCCACTTTAATTTTCTCATGTGAGAAAACGGGTATTTTTTTTATATGGGCTATCACGATATCTTTTTTAAAATGCCACATTCTTCACTGGGACAGAACAGCTTTAATCCCAGCTTAACTTTACTTCACACTGGCTTGCTCCTACTCTGTATAATTAGAATTGAAAGTGGAAAGTAGCTGGAAATGTGCTTCTGCATGGTTTTCTGGTTTGGCCCCTGAAATTTCTCTGCAGTTTTTCAGACTGATGTTGTCTTAGTTTTTGGGAAGGGGCCAGGGAGGACAGAGGGATAGTAATCTGATATGCCATTTGATTTCTCAGTTTTGTATCTGTTCTATGCTGCAGTAAGCACTGCAAGGAACTAAACACGAGGGATTACTTTTTTCCAGTAGCATCAGGTCTTTTATTCTGATTTGGGTATGTTTATGTGCAACAAGACTCAGAAGCGAAATAACTTTGACAAGATGTTTTGAATCTTTCTTAAAAGCTCTCTAAGTTTTATCCTGGTCCAGGGTCAGACTATTGTATTTTATGGCGAGTTGCTTTATCACCTATTAAAGAACGTGTTGGGATTTTCTTTAAATAGCTCTGTACAGAGCTACTTGGTTTGTCTAAGGAAACTACTGAATTTGGCAAGAGGGAAACTTTCCTGAGGCTGCACCAGACCTGTTGTCCACACGGTGGAGTCCAAAACATTCATTCAGTACAAAAGCTGCAGACCAGGCACAACTCCCCCAGCAGTGCAAGAACTGGTCCAGTGATGCATATTCACACAGAACAAGAGCCAGTGTTTCTGATTTTGTTCTGGTGCCTGAATTTTTTTTTCAAATCCATTTGCTTTAGCATGGTAGTATTTGCAGAAATGCTGCCTTTCTTGGATAGTTGTTGTCAGGCAATACTGCTTAGACTTTGTGTTTGTTAATTATTCTTTTGTGTTTTGTGTATATACCTGTTACAAAAGAATATGCAGTAGTGGGACATTCTGCTTTCAGGTGTCATTTATGTCCCCTGCAATGGTGTTTGTCTCCAGGGGAGGAGAGACTCACCCATGGGTAACAAAAATTGCAGCAGTGCAGCCTGGTGTTGTTGTGAGAACCAATATTCTTGTCTTAAACTGGATTTGATTTTGATGCTAAAAGAACACTGTGACATGGAAACAGGATTGATTGTATTGTCCATCCTTCCTTTGGTTTATGCTTGTGGGTTATGACAGGTGTTAGATATGCACAGCTTTGTTAAATAAGTGCATTTTTGAAATTATTGAATAATCACACAAAAAATAATTGGAGCTTCTTCTTTTTCACAAAAGTGAAATACTATTTTTCATGTCAGTGTACACTCAATTTTTTTCTTCTTTTTCTGAAGTGTTTACATAAAAGTCTTGTAAAAACCCCACTGGCTAAACTAGCATTTTATAAACTTGTTTCTCCAAATATACTACAAAAAAACCACCCCTAATCTTGCATTTAACCAGTGCAGTAGAAACGCTGCTCTAATGTGACATGTTAGAACAAGAAAAGTATCTCAGAAATCAAAACACTGTTGGTTTGGGGTAGGTTTTTATCAAGCTTCTGTTAGTTTCTGGATGTACCAAGTCATATAAATTTTTCTTGAAATTTGGTATGTCTGCTGTGACTGGATTGTACTGGATGGATGTTCAAATCCACCTCCATACACATAGATAGGTGTAGGTCATGGAGAATAAGTTTAACCCTGACCTTGTTGGTGTTTAGGTGGAAAAACTCAAGCTTCACAATACCTTAAGGAAATGTGGTTTTCAACTATTAATTGCTAACAAACATTACAGGTTCTACACCAAAATAAATTTGTAGCTAAAAAGATCATAGCAATTTTCTTTCTGAGTCTGCTGTTCTATAAACACAAATGCATTTAATTATTAACCACAGTTTTAATGTAAATATATTCTGTCTCCAGTCAGTATGTTAAAGGATTCTCAATTACATACCTTTTTTTTTGTTTTCTTTCATTTCTGAGTGATGTGCAGCTGTCACTGAAGGAATCACAGTACATGCTGATTGGTTACTTCTTTCCTTCCTTCATTATATTTTTGGTTTGCAACATTTAAGGTTCAGTTCAATGGAAATGTATTAAGTGGATGGAAAATTGGTTTTTACATTATGATGTGGCCATTTACATCTGAAATGGAATTCCAGATGAAAA